AGGTATAGGTGTGTGATGTGCATGTTTTTGCTGTGTGTGTGTGTAGTTGTATGCTGTCACACCTCCTGTCCTCACACATGTAATCCCTTCTTGTAATGCCTTCCTCTTCTGCTTGGCCTCATAAACACCCCCATGGCTCTTAAGCACAGGGACACATCCTTCTCAGCCCAGGCCTCTGTGGCCTGGGGCAGGGCAGAGCATAGCTGTATGCTTCTGTGTGCCCTGGTGTACATGCCTTCACATGTGTGTCCACACAGGCGTATCCATTTCCACTCGTGTGTGTGTCCAAGTGTGTGGACCTGCATGATTGTGTCAGTGCACAGGTACATGAATCTGCACCCCGTGTGCATACCCGAGTGTCCTGCCCTTGAACTCCAACTGTACATGCAGAGCCCAGAAAACACTTGCTGGCTGGGGACAAGTGCAGGTGTTGGCCTGGGTGGGAGAGAACTCAGATCTCTTTCTTCCACTCGGATGTAGCTAGGCTGGGAAGATGGAGGTCTGACTGCTTACTGTGATCCTCAATTCGCCTGTCTGAGGAGACCATTCATTCAGGGTGCTAGGTGAGGACACTCTTTGCACCTCACACTAGGGTCCTTTGCGCTGGAGAACGCTCCCGGCCCCATCTCCCCCTGACTGATGCTGCCTGAAGGCTGGCTTTTGTTGTTTCACAAACCTTCCAGAGACGCAGAGGCTAACAAGGCCTTCTGGCCGTCTTGCTGGAACTCTCAGGGTCCTGCAGTGACCTCCGTACCCAGTGTCCAGCTCTTCCTCCAGCTGTGTCCTCTACTCAGGGCTCAGCTATTTCCTGGTGTGTACAGAGCCCCAGCCACTGCCCCTGCCTCCCAAGTTCAGAGGTCACCCTGACCACAAAAGAGCTAGCTTGCCCACCCAACTTTCTGTCATGGAAGCAAAGCTAGCCAGGCCTTCCTGTCACTCTCATTCACTTCTACACCAGAGATTTGTAAGAGGGGGAGGCCTTGGTGCTGATGTGTCCTGGAAGGTAGAGTAGCCTTTCATAGGGCCCTTCCCACCAGCCCAGGGATTAGAAGATAATGGTATATGTGGCCTCCAAAATACTGTAGCACATTCCTTGTTCCCTGGATCAGAGTGGGTACATCTCCATCAACACCTACAGAGAGAGAGTCTGGGAGCTGGGGGCTCAGCTCAGTGGCACAATACTTGCCAAGCAGGTGCAATGCTCTGGGTTCCATTTTGAGCGCAGGTAGGCACAGGGGGACACACAAAGAGTCTGAAGTGGTGCACACCTGTACTGCCAGCATTTGGGAGGTCAAGACAGGAAGGTCCCAAGTTCAAAACTACCTCTGTCTCAGAAGCAAATGTAAGCCTAAAGGTAATATATCAATCCTCTGGAGGCTGAGACGAGATTGCCTCAAATGAGAAGCCAGACTAGACTACACAGAGAGCTCCAGTGGCAGAATCCAGGGCAATGCAGGTGCTCCAAGCTGGGTCACCCTTGGCCAATGATTCCTCTTTGCCACCTGGATTCAACACAGAGCTCAGGGCCAAGCTGAACAAAGTCCTGCCATTCCCATTCAATTTCCTTTCCTCTTGAGAAATGGCAGTGCCATGTGACCTCTCTGTGTGTTTATTATAAATCTAATACCCCGTGTTTCAGTTCAGTGAACGCACATCTTATTTGGAACCTGGGTTTGAAGTCGCCTAAAGCTGGCCTGAATGTAATTGTACTGGTGCATACAAGATCCTGTTAATTTCTGTCGGGTCTCATGAGCTCCGCACTGGTTTGGGGATTGTCCCTTCTGCACAGTGGAGCGTGAGGACTAGGCACTTTTTGCCCAGGATGTGACTGGCATTTTGTACAGAATGAAAATGGAAATTCAGTTTTGTAACTGTTCACAGATTGGACAACAATGAAAATAATTACATCACAGGTCACAGGCCATGTACTTTCCCCTTTCTTCCTTCCTTCCTTCCTTCCTTCCTTCCTCCATCCCTCTCCCCTCTCCCCCTCCCTCCCTTCCATCCTTTCTATTCTTTTTATGTAACTCCCCCAGAGAGGGTGGGCATTGGTGATGTCCCATTAGAAGGGACTCCCAACATCAGCAACTCAGCAGCTGGGCCACAGTGAGGATGCTGGGCTGTTATAGGTCACCTTATCCCTGGAACAGTACTTCAGTTAGTAGATAGTCTACTTAAAAAGTATTACATTTATTTATTTTGTGTGCTCATGCATATTTAGGTAAATTGTGGGGGTATATAGATGTCACAGAGTGCATGGAAGTCAAGGGACAATGTTTAGGAATTGATGTTTTCCTTCCATTGTGTGGTTTCTGGGGACAAAACGCAGGTAGCCAGGCTTAGTAGCAAGCACCTTTAGCCACTGAGCATCTCAATAGGTTTTTGTTTTGTTTTTGAGGTAAGATTTTACTATGTAGCCCTGGTTAGCCTGGAACTCACTGTGTAGACCATGTTGGCCTGGAACTCCCTGAGATCCACCTGCCTCTGCCTCCCAAGTGCTGGGATTAAAGGTGTGCACCATCAAGCACAGCCACAGGTTTAATTTTAATTATGCAAATGCATGTTCATCTGAGTGTGGATATGGGTACAAGTCTGAGTGCCCATGGAGGCCAGAGGAAGGTATGGGGTCCTCTGGAACTGGAGTTACAGGCAGTTGTGATATAGGTGCTGGGAGCTCAGGTCCTCTAGAAAAACTGCAGGCTCTTAGCCTCAGAGCCATTTCTCAGCTCAGTAGACAGTATTTCTAACTCCAGTTTACTATACCCTCAAGGAGAGACTCTCAGAGAAGTTCCAGGCAGAGAGAAAATGTGGGTGTTGGATCTGTGATTTGGAGACCTGTCTGCCTGTCCCTCAACCCTGTTGCTGGGTTTCCAGGCTCCTGTGGATGGTTGATGCCCCCTCATTGCTCTTCCCCCCAACCTGTGTGCTGGATGCAGTACCCAGTGCTGCAAGGGGCAGCTAGCTGCCCAGCATTCCCATTCCAGGGGTGGCTCTGTCACCGTGAACCTGGGCAGATAGATGTCTTTGCTCTGCAGCAGCTTTCTTACAGGTCCTCAGCCTGATAAGAAGGGACACCTGCAGCCTCTCTCCAGTCCAGCCACTGCCTTCTCTGCTTCCCATGAGACCTTTGATGGCTCTCACAATGTAGGAGACACAGATCAGCTGCCCTGGGATTGTACCCCAACATCTGCTCAAAGGCCAGAATCCCAAGCTATAGAAGTTGACTTCTCAGATTCGAGTCAGTAAACACTCTATATGGGGCAGACTAGCAGATTTCAACAGAACATGCAAGGCCATCAGGAAACTGTCTAGGTAGAGACAATGACTAGTAGAGGGGGGTGGGGCATGCATTCAGGATGGCGGGAGTCAGACAAGATGGACCTGACATTGGAAGGGACACAGGATTGCCATGGGTCCCATGATACCTATCTTCATTTTTACACTTTTGAGAGAAACAGCTTTCCAGCCTGTGTTCTAAGCTTAGCATGCTTGTGCTGAGACCCTCAGGCTTTGAGATGAGCACACTCTAGGCTTGACCTCACAGCCCAGGTCTGGGGGTGGGGTTTCCTTGTAACATCATAACTCAGGAGATGGAGAGAGAACCTGGCTTTGGTGAGGAAACTGAGGCAGGGTGAAGCGGGGAGACCGAGAACAGGAGGTCACTGCAGACCATTCCACTCTTGTCTCTCTGTCTGCCCCAGATGCCCTGGGAACACTGCAAGCTAGCCTATGTGAGGAGTGGGAAGTGGCTTCAAGGACGTGAGGTGCCCAAAAGTGCAACGGGGAGGCCACTCAGTCCTCAGCCCAAGATGCAGTCCTTCCCAGCCTCCTTCTCAATCCTGGGTACCAGCAGTGCAGAAAAGGGTGGATGTCGAACGATTGAAGCCAGAGTGTAAGGGGGAAAGATCTGGTGTCAGTGCAGGAGGAGTCATCCCAAGGTTAAAGAAGGGCCAGTCTGTGGTAAGCATGGTGCCCGGGCCAAGCCGGGATCTGTTCCTAACCCTCCCTGTAGCCACATTTGTTATCTGATCTGCTCCACAAGCCTCCATCTTTCCAGCCTGGCTGGGCTCCCAAAAGCATCCCTTTTCTCAGGGTCTCAGCTGTTGGCAGTGTCCTGTGCTTCTGTAGGCCATGGTGGTGGCTATCGTAGCGTGGAGTGTTTGCTACATCGACTAGTCAATAGCTTCCAGGAGGCAGGCTGCACCTGGTGGGCAGGGGAACCCAAAGGTACATTCTGACTTGCTGTGGGAAACGACTCTCATTCACTGCCAGCTAGGGAGGTTCCTGGGCCTCCTACTGGATCCCACATGGAGAACTACAGTCTGGATTAGGTGTTCTGCTCTCTGAAGCTGCCTGTGCTCTCTCCACTTTCTTCAGGGGCTACAGACATTTGCAGATCAGCCCAGGAACTTTGGTTGGGACCATGCTAACTCCCATACATCCCTCCCCTCCCCTGGAGCTTGTACTTGGCAGCACCTCCCAACTTTGTTAATGGAAACCTACTGATCCGTGACACGCGCGTGGCAGACATCTGCTCGGGGTAATGCGCTGGTAATGTACGTATCGATGATCAATCTGTGGATTTGCAAGAGCGGCATAAAGTATTTAATTATAATCACGTTGGGCGAGTCTGCATGGTGGCAGCGACATTTGAATAGGTCACGGCCAGCCCTCACCCCTGTTATGTTATCGGTATTAAATGCCACTCACTCCTGACGTCCTGGGATAGCATACGCTGGCAAACTGGAAATGTCCCTTTGCTTCTAAGAACATGACTGATAGCCTCTGCAAAGTGACCACCAAACCTCAAGGCACACCAGCCTCACCTGGTACCGTCCTCACCTTTGCCATCCGTGGCTGTGGAGATGGTGTTTGGCAGTGAACCCCTGTGCAGAGGGACTGAGTCTCCCTAAGCCCCTCTGTCTTGCTCAGGGCAAGGGGCTTTCTGCTTTCAAATTAGACTTTGCTAACTAGAACAAACTGTCAGAAGCAAGCAGGCATCCAAAAGATGAAACAACTTTTATTTGCTCAGTTGGTAGCAGAGAAAAAAAGTGTATCTTCAGACACTGTCGGAACCACCTCTGAGATGTGTACCATCTGTGTCATAAGCAATCTCGAATCAATGCTTTTAGCATGCCTGATGGACGGATATACAAAACAAGGACATAGACAGGAGCACAACAATAGCGAACATGTACACACACACACACACACACACACACACACACACACGAGTGCAAGTGCATAGGCACGTGCAAACTCACAAAGATGACCTTGACAGAACAGACAAGCCAGGACAGAGGAGAGGGCCTGCGAGGAGCAGGCACAGGTCTGGGTGCCATGTCATGCCTGGCCATAACATGGCAGAGCCCACAGGCATGCTGGACATGTCAATGGCAGCCGCAGAGTTCTGGAAAGCCACAGGGGGTGTTGCAAAGGGCCCAGGGAGCTGCATCTTTGGAAAGGGCTTTGCAGGAGGGCTCCCTCTCCTCTTGCTGGACTGGGCTGGGGAATAGTTTCTAGGCAGAGGCTGTGTTCAGCAGGACAGAGGCCAAGCTAACTCCTTAAAGGAGACCCACAGCAGGGCCCCAGAACCCCTTCTATTTTCCCAGGCCAGTAAGGGCCCTATGGAACAGGCGTGGAAACAAAGGGATCAATTACTCCATCAGGTTGAAGGGTAGCTAGGCCTAAGAGATCTCTCCTGTGACTCCATCCTGCCTCTGCCCACCTTTCTTTACCCGAAGCCTGTCTCTAAACCAAGCCAGGACTGTAATTCTCAATCGAGACAGTCAGTCTGGCTGGGGAGTGACTTTGTCATTCAAGGAAATAGTCACTGAGATTGCTAACGTTCAAATTAAGTCACAGCAAACAGTTAATGCAGCGAAAAAAAGCAGGATGGTGAAAGATGGGAATGGTGGGTATATAGCTTCACTGTGCCTAATTGTGGTTTTTAAACTGCCCATCTCAATGGTAATACAATCATTTACATTTCAAATGGAGTACACCTCCACTCCGGTCTTAAGCACTGCACTGTGCAGTTCGGTGGTACCATTCCCTGCTGGGTCCCTGCACGCAAGGAAACTGGTAGGACTGAGTAGAGCCAGGATAAAGTTCCTTTCCCTCTCCACTTCCCCTCCTTTCTTCCTCTCTTCCCTGCATAGAAATTACACTTACACTTCAAGTTTTTTGTTATCTTTTTATTTTGAGGCAAGACCTCACTGATATTGCCCAGGTGGGCCTTGAACTTGTAATCCTCCTGCCCCAGCCTCCTAAATGTTGGGATGACAGGCCTGTGTCCTCATGCCTAGGCAGGGAGGTATGTTTCTTCTGAGAACACAGGACACTTCTGATTATGCTTGACATCATTGTAAGCCTTGGGGTAAGTAATAGACACAGGGCAGATTAACATCTGTCTTTGCTGTTTTAAACCTCATTATTTTTACTGGGAAGGCCTTAGCCAGCTTCATGAGTGAGTTACTGAGCGCACTTTAACTTTGGAATGGGGGTGTCTACAAAGCCACTTGTCACATGACTAAAAACAAAATACTACCTGATTCCAGGGAGTCTCTGGTGGTTTTACAGCTTTGTGTGGTGAGGTTCAGTGAGTCCCACAGCGAATCTTGGAGTGGAGCTGAATCCGAGCCAGGTTTTCCTGTGAGAGAACTGTTTTTATTCACATCACCACCATAAATACCTTTTAGAAGGTCTCCAGATCTTCCCTCCAAATGGAGAGCTGAGTCCCCGGGGCTGTCTGGGACGAAGTATGCAGATGTGGCAACATCCAGGGTTCTTGATTCAAGATGCCCGGTTCAAGTCCTGCCTTCAGGGGAGGATCAGGGCCCAAGTCCTCAACTGGCCACAGAGCTCCAGAGGCTACCTTATGTTGCCCAAAAATGGAAACTCATTTGCTGGGTTTCCAGAGCTGGATACCTGGCTTCCTGGGAGTGACAGTGTGACCTGAGCGCCGGGAAAGGGTCCGGGGAAGACAGGATATAGTCGATGCTGAATTTGATGTCTCTGTGTGTGGCAGGGCTGGCCTGAGCCCCGCGGTCTGGAGCTTGTGCGCTGTCGGGGCCCGGGGACCTGCGCTCTGTTGGCTCGAGGGGACCCGGGGGGCCCTCGCGCTTGGGGCCACGTCGCCTGCGTCGCCGACGGAAGTTGCCATTCTCGAAAAGGTCCAGGAGGGACTCGCAACCGCCCGCGAACGTCCAGTAGTTGCCTTTGCCCTTATCGTGGCCCTCGGTCCGTGGAACCTGCGGGAGTGTGGGGCTCAGCTAGCGTCCCCAAGCCCGGGGCAGGAAGCCCCTCTGGCAAGTGTGTCGCGGGTCCCCTCGGGTGTATGCTAGCAAGGAATTTGTCCCTCTGCAGGAGGTGACACTCCTCCCCCCACCAAGGATGACTGGGGACACCTGAGGGTCCAGTGAGAGCCGTGGGCGGGGGAGGGGCTCACCTTAACGAAGCAGCTGTTGAGCGACAGGTTGTGGCGGATGGAGTTCTGCCAGGCGCGCTGGTTGGCGCGGTAATAGGGGAACTTGCGCATGATGAAGTCGTAGATGCCAGACAGGGTCACGCGTCCCGCGGGGCTCTGCTGGATGGCCATGGCGATCAGCGCGATGTAGCTGCGATAGGGGTGCCAGACAGAGGGGCTGCATCAGGAGGGGTGGTGCTGAAACCGCAGAAGCGCTGGTGAACTCAGTCCTGCCCTGGGGCTGGTTGGACTCCTTGAGACCAGATTGACACTGCCCCACGCCCCCATCCACTGGGCTCCAAGGACCTGCCAGAGCTCTGCAGCTAGCCCAAGCCTCTACCGAACCTCTGAAGCCCTCTAAGATCCGTTAGTTTCCCGGACACTCTGAAGCACCCCTTCCTTCTGTAAAACCTTTTACCTTCTGAAGCCACCCAAACCCGCTTGGGACCCCCAAGACTCTCTGGACACTGAGACCACCTGGAACCCCCGAAGCCTTCTGGAGTCTCCAATACCTTCTAGACCCCGCAGGACCTTTTAAAACTGCCAGTGGCCTGATGAAATGAATCCCTTTCAGCTCCCCAGGACTCCCGCGGAGCGTTGGGGTGCAGAAGAAACTGCATAATCTCCTTGCTGCTCCCTACTTCTATCCCCACTAACCTGCTCCCCTCTTGGTGGACCCCCCCACTGGCTATCTCCACAGTGTACTGGAACGTGTGTCCTTCCTCAAAGACCCGCAGAAGGAAGGAATCCCACCTCTCCCTAGTCCGGGTCAGGTCCAGACGACCCAGCCCTCTACCGCTTCTGTGGGCCCTGTCACCTGCCCCGGGGTCACCTGTATGCTGGCCTCGTGAGCCGTTTTTCCTCGTCGGAGCTGCCGGCAGGGTAGTCGTCGGCGTCATCATTGAAGCAGTTATATGGGTACTGTGAGCTGTCAAACATTGTGGCCACCCTGTGCTGGCCCGCGCTGGCGCCGCCACCGCCTCCGCCGCCGCCTCCTCCTCCGCGCTGGCCGCCAGCAGTGGGCCCGGCACTGGCACTGGTTTCCCTTGGCTGGGCAAACAGCGTCTGCGTGCAGGACGCGGGGAGCCTGGGCTTCTGGGGTCCCCGCCCGCTCCGCCTGGCTCTCTGGCGTCCAATCCCAGTGCGGGGGTTGTCCCCAGCCACCACAGTGTGGGGAGCGCAGAGGGGGGCGTCGCTACCTTCTGACCCGCCAGCAAGGGAGGCCTGGTCCCACAGGCAGTCTCTGTCTGTTCTCCTCTGAGTCGAACCCTGAGCCTGTTGCAGGGCCCAAGGAATCACCATTCACAGACTCTGGGCTCATCGCTGCACTCAGAGCTAGAGGTGATGGGGCCAGTCCCAGAGAGCTGAACTGCTGTCCCTCCCTCATAGGACATAGGCTGGCTGCTTTCAGCCCTAGGGCACAAAGCCTGGTCCAGGCAGATGGGAGCTCCTGCCCCATCTTGGCTTCCTGTTTCCTCATTGCACCAGGTGGATGATGGCACCAAGGCCCAGGGTTTCTAACAGCATCCTGAGCCCTCCTCCCGCTGTGTATCCCTGCCTAGAAGTAGCCTCCCTGGGTGCTCTGGGTGGCCCAGGACCACAGAGATTCTTCTGAGCTTCCTACTGGCTCTCTGGCCCCGGGAGCGGAAATTGCCGACATAGTGAGGGGGCATCTGAATCGGAGACTGGGAAACCGTGGTGAGGTGGGATGTTTTGGGGGAACCTTGGCATTCTTCTTTCCAGTAATTTGCAGGAATCAGACTAGGAGCCATGTCTGTGAATCCAGAGAGATGAGAAATCAGGGCAGCGCCTTCAAGGTTACTTCATTGTGCTACCTAGTGCTACCTCTCTTATGGTAACGAATGGTCATCTAGGTGGATGATATTGAGGTTCTCTTTGGAGAAGCTTGGGTGCAGCAGGTCAGGCTGCTTTGTGCCATGGTGGCACGGCTACTGTGCCAGTCCAAGCTACACTCAATAACAGAACTCAAGAATTTGGGGAAATAGGGGCTGAAGAGACGGCTCAATGGTTAAAAGCACTAGCTGCTCTTCCAGAGGACCCGAATTCGATTCCCAGCAACCATATGGTGGCTCACAACCATCTACAATTCAACCTGGTGCCCTCTTCTGGCCTGCAGGAAGACATGTAGGCAGAATACTGTACACATAATAAATAAATAAATAAATCTTAAAGAACACTTTACTGGAAACATCTTCTGATTGGAAACACACCTTTCAACAGGTGTGTGGTCAAGTCAACTATGCTATAGATGAGTACTACACTGCCAGTAAAAATGAAGGGATTCTCGTTATATGCAATATTCAGGTTGAACCCCCAAATGGAGCAAAAGAAGCATTCTCAGACGTTTACCTGCTTTATAGTCTGACTCAGAGGACATCTGAGAGACCAGGGAGATGTAGCATGGCCTTATGGCTCTGCTGCTTACTGAAGGCACCATCTCCTTCCATAGTCACAGGCTCACTCAGAGATCCAGGCTGCTTCCAAAGGGAGGAGTATAAGGGTACATTGTGAGGAGGGCAGTTGGGATGGATGGTGCTGTGCAACCATTTTTGCTTTGTGAGGAGAATAGATGGATATGCAGCCACCTTTGTAAAAATACAACACTGCTCTGGAGGCCTGATGGTGTGACAGGAATGGCCACAGGGAATGGAGGAAGACGGGAGAACATTCTGTGTAGCATGAACCTACAGACCCAGCCTGCAAGACCCACATAGAATGATTTGTCAAAAACTGAATGGCATCGGATAAGGGTGCTGATCTTCCATCAGATGTAAAACTTGCCCGTGATCTCTCCCAACCCATGACTGTCACTTGCTCCCTTGAGTGTGTCCCTTGAGAGACTCTAACATGTTTGATTTTGACAAAGCCCAATTGGCTTATTTTTCCTTGCTTTGCTGGGGTGTTGCTGTCATTGAATCCAAAGCCATGATTTCCAGCAGTGTCTTCTGCTGAGAGCTGCACTTGCTCAGCTGTAGACAGGGGTGGCACCTGTGTCACAGTTTGATGGACCCCTGAGGATGTCCTCAGAAAGAAATCAGTATGATACAAAGTCTTAGCTTAACTCATGGTGCCTGAACCGGGCAAATGCAGTTAGAAATGAGGTTATGAGCTTGGTTTGGAAATGGTGGCATGTTGGCAATTTTTGATATCATGATGGTCTGTAGCACTGTGACTATTTTAAGGCTATCGAGCTGCACACAAAAAGGTATAAAAATGGATCATATCTCCTATATCTCATGACAACCAACACATTTAAGTGAGGGGCTGGGGGTGTGGCACAAAGGCCTGAGTTCCATCCCCAGCATCAACTGTGGGAGTGGACACGATAATCTTATCATTCAGGAGGCAGTTCAAGGTCACCTCATTTACATAGTGAGTTGGAGGCCAGCCTAGGATACATGAGACCTCAAAAAAATTGTTTAAAAGGGCCTGAAGAGATGGCTCAGTGGTTAAGAATGCTGGCTGCTCTTGTAGAGAACCTGAGTTCAGGTTCCAGTCCCCAACTGGGAGCTCAGAACTCTCTAACTCCAGTCCCAGGCAATCTGATGCCCTCTTCTGGCATCTCTGGGTACTGCATGCATGTGTTACATAGGCATGCAGGCAGGCAAACACACACACACACACACACACACACAAATGCTTACAGGTTAGAGTATTGGGTGTGTTAATAAGTCTAACACCTGCTTAAAATGGAGGGTAAACTAAGAAAGATTAACAGATGTCAGAGTTTGTGTGTGTATGGGAGGGGAGGTTGTGTATATATGCCCAGGTCAGAGGAGGATGTCAGGTGTCATGTTCTATCATTTTCTACCTTCACTCCCTTCAGACAGGGTCTCTGGCTGAACCTGGAGGCACATGGGCAGCCAGAAAGTCCCAGTAACCCTTGTGTCCCCATCCTTCGCAGGACTGGAATTGCACACACACATTCAGCCATACCTGGCTTTTTATATGGGTTCTGGGGATCCAAACTCAGGTCCTCATGGTTGTACAGTCAGGGTTTTTGCCTGCTGTGCCATTTTCCCAGACCTCTTTGTATTTATTTGTTTATTTATTGACATAGGGTCTTACAGTGTAGTTCAGGCTGGCCTGAAACTTGAGATTTTTCTCTGCCTAAACCTTTGGACCACGGGGCTGCAGATCCTCAATCCAGGGGTTCCTACGTGGCACCAGAAGTGTAGGAGCAGCCTGGGTGGCCCCCTCCCACTGTCCCCTGGGACTTGTGTCCTATTGGAGGGTCCGAGGTGTAGGGAGGTGTGTGAACAGGAACAGTGGGAAGCAGAGCTGAGGTGCCAGAGTGTAAAAGGGAATTGAGGGTCAGAGGAGACCCCTGAGCTGGTGCGTAGACACTGCTGTCATGGACAGGAGGGAGTAGGACAATACGTGTAGGAAGTCTAACACCTGGCCTCACAGACAAGGGCACATCTGGATCCTCCTTCTGTCACTAGATGACTTGGACTGGCTACTCCATTCAGGACCTATCCCGTCTCCTATCTTGCCTGGGTATACACGTGACCCTAGTGAAAGTCTTACCTGAGTTCATATCTTCCTCCTCTAGACTGTTATGAAATGCTGGCATGAGTTTACATTTGCCAGAGTACTACACATCTTGATATTCCAGAACCATCCACTCATTGAGACTTTTTCCCTTATCTCTGTAAGTATCATGTGGCTTTTCCCAGAGAGATGTGAACAAGTCCACCCTAGACAGAGCGAGGACAGATTAAAGAAAACATTCCACCCAGGTCTAGCTTAGTGAAGCATCGAGTTTATTGGAGTTTTCCTACAAGCACATGGCTCAAATGAGTGACATTCAGAAAAGTTTTGTCCTTGGAGTTCGCTGTGAGACTAGGCCAGGTTTACCCTGTGGGATCAATGTTACTGTTTGTGTTACCCTGGGGAAGGTGCCTTGTGGAGCCTGTAAGTTTGAGGAGCCGCCTGAAACTTGTGAGTTGTTTGCTTCCCGGGTCTTAACTAGTGGTCTCCAGGAGGGAATGGTTTCAATCCTAGGAAAGAGTTTACCCACCAGGAAGATAGAGTTTTTGGACAAAACAGCATTTGTCTCAGTGATGCTCTGGTAGAGGTAGCCAAAGATGACTGTGATGTCTCAGACTTCCCAGGTGATTATGGGACCATGCACTTCATCTAGAATCTCTGTGCTTGCACATGCCAAGAGCAAAATCCCTGCCCCCATTCTCATACCCAGACAGCATGACATCCAATGATAGTTTCTCATGGCCCCATGCAAACCTGCATAGTCATGATAAACACAGGTTTGTGACTCATGACCTGTGGTGGTTTGAATAGGAATGGCCCCATAGGCTCACGTATTTGGATGCTAGTTGACAGGGATTGGGAGGTGTGGCCTTGTTGGAGTAGGTGTGGCCTTGTTGGAGGAAGTGTGTCACTAGGGGTCGGCTTTGTGAATACAGATGTGGAACTCTCAGCTCCTTCTGCAGCATCGTCTGCCTGTGTGCCACCATGTTTCTTGCCATGCCCATCATGGACTAAACCTTTGAACTGTAAGCCAGCCCCAGCTGAATGTTTTCCTTCATAAGAGTTTCTGTGGTCATGGTGTCTCTTCACAGCAATAGAAATCCTGACTAAGACATGACCCAAGTTCCAGGTCCATGCATTCCTGGAACATATGTAAAAGTGTACTGTCACATCACCTGTCCTAAAACAGACACCCACATGTATGTTCATGGGAACCAGGGACAAAAGAGACAGCTTGTCTATTCTACTCAATGCAGATAACATTGACTGTGAATCTAGTTTTCATTTGTTTGATTTTAGTTTCTTTTCTTTGCTTTTC